GTAAATTGCATTAAAATTGAATCAAGAAGTGTAGCTGGTTTTAAATGTGGTGAATTTATTAAATTATAAGCAGCTTCAGGATGATCACGAAGTAAAGCACAATCATTTGCTGCATGATTATAAACAAGATCAGTTACAGATAAAATTTTCCATTGTTTTGCCATTGTATCAATAATTAATTTTAATTCTTCATATGTACCTTCAAATAATGGATTTAATTTATGATGATCTGTTATTGCATATGATGAATTAGAGATTTTATAAAGTAATTGAATTGGTGTAAAATGAATCATATTATAACCAGAATGATATGCAACTTCAATACGTGATAACCATTCATTCATTGGACCTAAGGATTTCGATAAGACTGATTGACATGTTATAAAATCTTGTTCTAACATTTCATTATCATTAATTAATAATTCAGGTTCGATTTGAAAAAAACCTTGACCATTCAAATTTTCAATTGTTCTAAAGAAAAACAAAACAAAATGAATTCAGAGAAAAATTCAAAACAAAATATTTTTACGTTGATCCATCAATTGTAAAATAATAATGAAATGAACCAGCTTTAACAGATGGAATACAAACATAACGATCAGAATCATCATATTTTCCCATTGATGGATAAATCCATTTTAATTCATGATAATTTGAACGTTGAAATTTATCTTCTGATTTAAGACAAGCATTTGTAAATATTCGAAGTTTTCTCCATGATAAATTATATGAAAGTTTTATTTGAAGAATCCATCCTTTTTTTAAACGATAAATATTTTCACTTCTATCTTCACCTTCATTTAATATTATTATTCGAATCTGTTCAGCATTTGTTAATGTAGTTGTTGGTGTTGTCGTCATTTTTAAAACAAATTTATCTTAAAAGAAATTAATAAATTTAAATAATAATCTTTCTACTCATTTTACCTTTCGATTCTTTTTGTTAAACCACGTAAATGAAACACGTGATCAGATTCTACTATATCATAAAACTAATCTTATTATAACTTTGTTTTTCTGCTTTTGTTTACATGGACAGAAGAATTTCTGTTCCATTAAAACATATTTCGTCTAGATGTCACCAAAAAACAATATTGATTTTTTCAATTTTTACATTTTATTTACAATTTTATCAAATAGAATTTATCAATCTATTTTACTTTTATATTAGATCAAATTTCAAAATTTATTTCAATGATTTTATTTAAAAATATTCATATTCTTAAAAACAACTCACTACAAGTGATTTATCGACATTTTTACTTTAAAATCGTCGATTAATCGTGAGATCTTATCGCTGTTTTTTTGTTTCGAAACTGATCACATCAATAATTTCTCAAGTAATTACATTCAGTTACGTACCTTTTCACTTTAATCGATCACCAAATACATTTACATAACGTTTACGTGCTTCTATTTGCTTCCTTTCTATTGACTATCGTTGTTATTTCTTGTTTTTTTTCTCGTATCCTTATTTTGAAGCAAAAAGCATAGAGGTAATCGATTAGAAAAACGCCTATAGACTGTTTGATCTCATTTTTTGATCAATAAAATCAAGTAAAACTAAAACATTGTTTCGCGCAATTTCTGTAAAATTGTCATATATGCAGAGTGTCACAAATTGTTTGCATATTGATGTTACATCGTTGAACACTATATAAAATGCTTATTAATTCTTTCTTATAGATTCTTTTAATTAATTAAAAATGATAATATACATTATATCCTACTCTTTTTTGTTACATTGAATATGAGATAGAAATTGATTATCTATTTCAAAACTAATGTTTACAATGAGATCGTATAAATATCAAGAATACTGATCAATAATCAGCTCATCATTATGTTTTTCAATCGAAGAAATGCACAATTACATTGCAAGTATTAGTTTTCATTTCAAAATATAATCAATCAATTTCACCTTTATAAAATGACAATAATCTTGAACAGTGCATTTTACTATTCAAACGATCACCAATTTAAAAAAAGTTACCCCAATCGTCCATCCATTTCATGTAAGAAATGAAAAAGGAGATTTTTCTTTTTTATAAATACCATTATTCAGTTTACTGTTCGTCCATCGAACATCGTTTTTTAAATTTAAATAGTCATTTTGTTTATATCTTTGCATCTGAACTTCTTTCTTTCGTTGCTGTTGGAAAATAAACTTTAAGAACAAACCAACAGATCTTTATGTATGTAAAGAAAACGAACGAAAAAAAATAGACATAGACAACAGTACAATATGATCTTATCAGCACACCACATAGAAGAGTTATGAGAGAATTAATAAGGATTTATTCATGTACATTTTGAAAAGCATTCAATGATGTGATATGAAAAAGAAAATCAATTTTTTTTATATTATCTACTAATGAAATATACACATTTTTCTCTTTAAACGTTGATAAGTATTACTTCTTTGAATTGTCTCATGTATAAAACTGTTTTCTAATCTCAGTTGAGAAACGACATCTATAATAAATAATTCTAATTAATAATATTTGTATTATGATGAATGAAATAAATTATTTAAAATAAAATATTTGAACTAAAAAGAAAAGAAATAAATTAATAAAAATAATTTCTAATTGGTGATTTAATAGTACGGGTCAATGTACTTATTATTAATATTTATTATCAGTATATTTGTAAAGTACATCTATTTTTAATAAAAATGTCGGTTTGTCGTATAGTTCGTCCTTATTATAATTTGTTAAAACGTGAACAAAGTGTTTCAACATTGAGTTCATATCGTGATCGATCATTCTATAAATATTTTATCGATATGCAAACTCGGTAAGTTATTCTTAGTAAAAAAGTGAAAAATAAAGTAAAATTAGATTGCGAGACAATGATTATTATGGTCATGTTAATAATGTTGTTTATGGTGAATGGATCGATACAATTGTTAATAAATATTTAATTGATAAATGTTCACTACAACCATTAAAATCTCCATTAATTGGTTATGTTGTTAGTTCACATTGTGAATATTATTCTCCAGTATCATATCCATCAACAATATCACTTGGCTTATTTATTAAAAAATTAGGAAAATCATCAGTTGATTATCAAGTTGGAATATTTGAAAATAATCAATCTTTAAAAGCTTCTGCTGTTGGTGGTTTTACACATGTTTTTGTTGATAGGACAACACAACGGCCTCATCCAATTGACCAAGAATTTCGAAATAAACTTTCACTTATTTTAAATTAAGTTCATTTGCAATAAAAGTATCTTTAAGAAATAGATTTACTCTTTTAAAATTTTCATTTCTGATTATCAGATTCTAATAGATAGCTTTTGAATTAATTAAAATAAAAATATTCTATGTTGAAAATGTTTTTTTGTTCAAGATATAAATCGATAAAATGCTTGAAACAAAAATAGTTGTTGGAGAAGGTTATGCATGGATATTATTTGAAGCAGTACTTATCTCAATTCATATGATGGTAACTGGAATGTTAATGGGATCAATACGACGAAAAGTTTTTAATAAAGAATTTTATGAAAAAAATTTTCCACAATATAAAAAATTATCAGCTTTTATGAAACCAGATGGAGGTTATCCTGATGATGGACAAGGAAGATTAGCTGACAAATTAGATGATGAACAATGGTTTAAATTTAATAATTATAGACGTGCACATATGAATTATCTTGAAGTTTGTTTATTTTTCTTTACTTTTATTTTTAATCTTTTGAAAATATTTAGGGAGGTTTTGCAGTTATTGTTCCATTATTAATTGCTGGTTTATCTTTTACACGTGTAACATTTTTAACTGGAATTGCTTATATTGTTGGACGAGAAATTTATTCTCAAGGATATCGTCGATCAGGTTCAAAAGGTCGTCTTGTTGGAGCATTAACACTTGATGCAGCTCTTTTAATTTTATGGTCAATGGCTTTATATACATGTTTTCATTGGGGTAATGGATTAGATGGATTAAAAAAACTTATTTTCTAAATTTAAAAACATGACATTTTATTTTAAACAAGAATACATATTTTTTTATTAGCTCATTCATAGATTTCAAAAATAAAAATAAACTCTTCATTTTATCTAAAAAAATCTTTTATTATTGAATGATGTATTCTTAATTGTAAAGGTAATGTAATTATATTTCGATTTTATTTAATTGATGATAAGAAATAAAGTAAACTTATCATATTCTCATTTTCGCTTGTTATTGCTTCACAAGATATCAATCATAAATTTAAGCGACTA